TTTTTTAAATTTTCATGTTGACCTTTTGTGCAGAAGAGTTAATTGAATGCAAGAAAGGCAAAAATTTCACACAAATACATTCATAAATTCTTTTATAAAAGTATTCAACAGAGAGGTTAAGAATTGGTCAGGACAAAAATATCCCATTTTTACTTCCAAATAAGATTTTTTTTAAAAAAATTATTTATTTTTTTGGAGATATTGTCTTTCTACATAGCCCTGGCTGTCCTGAAACTCACTATGCCGACCAAGCTTGCCTGGAACTCTCAGAGTTCCACCTGGTATTAAAGGCATGTAAAAAGGTATGTGCCATCAGGTCTGATTGCAAAATAAGATTTTAAAGCCTGCTTGTTGAGGCTGGACACATTGCTCAGTGCTTAAGAACACTAGCTATTCTTCCAGAGAATCTAGGCTCAATTTTGGCACCAACATGGCAGCTGCCTTTGATGCATATGTATGTATGTATGTATGTATGTATGACTTTATTCTGACTGTATATCCAGTGAACAGCCAAAGACTACCAGTCTCTTTCTGGGGCAAACTTCAATGCATACAATGCCTTACTGAGAAGTTTTATGTGTCATGAGAAAGTTGAGGGTTATAAAATCAACTAATCAAACCTCAACCATAAAACTGGATGAAGATGGCAAGTCAAAAGCAACAGAACATCTCCAGAGGAAGATTGGGTTAGCCCCTGTAGTTTCCCATCCTTTCTGAACAAACAGAAGAGAGTAGTGAAGCAAGCCAGGTGGTGGTAGCACACACCTTTATTCCAGACTCGGGAAGCAGAGGCAGGCAGAGTTTGAGATCATCCTGATCTACAGAGCTAGTTCCAGGAGAGCCAAGTCTACACAAAGAAACCCTGTCTTGAAAATAAAAGAAAATTAAATCTTCCCAGGAATAACTTTCTGAACATACCACCTCAGCATCATAATTAAATTGTAAGCTAAAATTGTTTACATTGAATGCTACAGGTACCAAACGGTATTGTGTATATTTTCTAAGGCGAATTAATTTTCCTTACAAAATATTTATAAACTGTTGAAATCATTTCATTTTTGTTATCTCCTTTCAGGCTGAAAGTTACTCTGATTCCATAAATGTATAAATATAACTCCAAATTTCAATTGATGTAATAATAGAAAAGTCTTTTTCAGTGTTAATGTACATTATGAGTTGTTTCTTCACTCTCTTTCAATTTTATTTTGTGAAGGAAAATAGAGGCAATGCTGGTACATGTGTTGGAGTTTCTTGACGGCCATGTACATGATTTTTAACTAGAGCACTACTATTTTCTTAACCTTTGATTTGCAAAGATTGGTGAGAAAGCTGAAGACAGCGTCCTAGATGAGCAAGCATAGCCAGCACCTACTACCAGTGTGTAAGCATCCAGCAGGATTTCTGGCTCCCTTGAGGACAACACAACTGCCACCACTCCTGCCACTTACACGAAAACAGAGCCTGCATCTGAGTCCCCAGGAGTAATGCCACTTAGTCTTCTCAGGTAGACAAGCTGGCCTCTAATGTCAGTCATGCTGATGCCTATGCTTCTCAGAATGCATTGCTTCTCTAATGCAGAGTGTTAAATGCCAAGTTAAATCCAGGCCTTCCACACTGGGGAAGAACCTGGGGTCATTCAGACAACATGCCTTAGTGAAGGGGAAACTATCCTTCTGAAGTTTGATAACTTGTCCTGAAGTCTCAAAGCCTATGAGTGCTGGGCCAAAGACTAATGATTATTTTGGCAGGAGCAGAGTAGATGCAGGGTCAGGCTGTCTTCCCAGGCACAAGTGATGCCCTTGCTTCTGGACAGGTGGGAAGTGTAGGTTAGCCTGGCTAAGCTTTTGAAGTTTTGGTTTCTTCAGACAGGAAATTGATTGATTCTCTCTTCCTGTTATATGTGTGTGTATGTGTGTGTGTGTGTGTGTGTGTGTGTGTGTGTGTGTATGTGTGTGTGGGTATGATGTGGGAGAGTCCCCTCTGTGTGCTGTGATTACCATTGATGAATAAAGAAACTGCCTTGGCCTGTTGATAGGGCAGAACTTAGGTAGGCGGGGAAAGTTAGGCTGTATGCTGGGAAGAAGAAGGACAGAGTCAGAGAGGGATGCCATGAAGCCGCCACTGCTGAAGACAGACGCACTGAAACTTTGCTGGTAGGCCATGACCTTGTGGTGATGCACAGATTAATAGAAATGGGTTAAATTGAGGTGTAAGAGTTAGCCAATAAGAAGTTAGAGCTAATGGGCCAAGCAGTGATTTAAATTATATGGTTTCTGTGTGATTATTTTGGTTCTGGGCAACCAGGACGAACAAGCAGCCTCCTCCTACATAGGTGTTATGGGGCAGTGCTGCTACTGAGATTCAGACAAACATTATCACCAGGGTCACTTCTCCAGTCCACTATTTGAATTTTGAGTAATAAAGTCTAAATACAAATAACTCATCTGAGTGAAATAAGTTTTCCCTGAGTTTATTCCCTAGCATTACCTAAAAGATGCTGATTTAATGAATGAATTTGATATAAATAGATTTTTCTGTCTCATTTTAATGAAATTTGTATTTCCATTTCTTGTAGAGTTTTCTGCAGTACTGGGATCAAATCCAAAGTCGTATGCATGCTAATCAAGTGCTTTAACACTGAGATATTTTCCCAAGCACTATTGTTTTTACTATCTAATATTACATATTCCCTTTTTAAGCTGTAAAAAGATTTTTGAGTATGTACCTTATAATATGATAAGATAAAATAGCCTCAAATTCCCCCTGCAATCATTTTCCTTTCATAGTATGACTCTAGGTCTTCTTCTTTTTATTTATTTTGATTTGATTTAAAATTTTATGGATATGGGTATTTTGTACCATGTGGACATGGGCATGACCGGTGTCCAAGAAGGCCAAGAGATGGCAGCAGACACCCTCCAATTTGGCATTCCAGGCAGTTGTGCGCCACCATGTGGCTGCTGAGGATAGAAACCATATCCTCTGGAAGAGCAGTTTACTCTTAACCACGGAGTCGTCTCTTCCTTTATAATTTTTTATTTTTAATTGTTTTTAATCATTCTAACCACGGAGTTCTGTAGTTATCATGGCTAATGTCTTATGTAGCATGCAGATTTTTTTCTAATAAGTTCCATGAATGGTTTCATAATTTATTTTGAAGTATCTGTTTCTCCTAGGCACAGGTTCTCAATCATTTCAGATGTTAAGTATGGTATATAATCAGTTAGAATTTAGTGTAAAGTCATTTTCTAACGGGAGCCTTAAAGTTCTAGCCTTTAAGAACTCCGTTTTAGGGTTCCATTAAAGATGCCAGGATGAGCTAAAGAGGGCAAAAATCTGAGGGTAAAGAAGCCTATTCACAACAGGTTCTGTGTCTATCCATGCTTTTTATTCTTCTCTCTTCAATACGTCATTTCTCATTGGTCCTTGTTCTACAGTGTTCCACCTGTTACAAACATTCCCAGTCATATATATTCTTAAAACCAGCAATTTCCCAGGCCTAGCAGGTTCCAGTGCCAGAATTCTTTTGCCCCATAGAAAATCAGAAGAGAGTTTTTACACACACACACACACACACACACACACACACACACACACACAGAGAGAGAGAGAGAGAGAGAGAGAGAGAGAGAGAGAGAGAGAGAGAGAGAGAGAGAGAGAGAGAGAGAGAGAGAGAGAGAGAAAGAGAGAGAGAGAGAGAGAGAGAGAGAGAGAGAGAGAGAGAGAGAGAGAGAGATCGATCGGTGGGAGTAGCTAGTATACATCCAGTGAACTCCTTAATGGAGAAAGTTAGTTAAGAAATGAATTAAATCATCAGAGAGTTCTAGAAGGGAATCCTAGTGAGCTATGCTACATTTTTAGGTGGTTAGTAAGAGCTAAAAGATTTATTTTCAGTAAAATTATTAACAGCGCATTGATTGTTTAAATGAACACGCCCACTTCTTTTCTCGCAGCAAGCACAGAGGCTGTGAGGTAACCAGGCAACCTGGGCGATGCTGATAGCTCTTGATCAGATAGCACATACACCAGATGCTGCAGTTTGTACAGACATATGTCTGGAGGTAAACTTCCTGCTGTAAGTGAAGCAGAGACCCAGACCTCCAAATTATCAGTTCTGGGCTACGCTGTTATCAGCTGCTCTGATCGTGGGTGTTGTGGGTCTTTCTCTGGTTTGCAGTTAATTATCCCTTCTGTTGTCTTTGAGAGTCGGGAACTAAAATCATCAGTAAGCTGAGGTGAAAGTGAGTGTAAGGAGTTAAGAATCTTTTAAGTGGGGTAAAACCAGAACATCAATTTGGGCAGGTTCTATGTCCTTGGAGATCTGTGTATGTCTTAAGTGAAATTCTCTATTGCCTGAATCCTAAGCACTGACCAAATGCCTGCTGATAAAGATAATTGCAGGAAGGCAGATCTTTGTACTTACCTAGGAGAGAGGAACAAAGGCCTGACCAGTAGGAAACTGTTTTCACTAAACAGTTCTGAACTGAAGGAATTAATTCCCAAATATGTAACAGAAAGAAAGTTAGCTATAGCAAAAAAAACTACAGCAAAGGACAGCCACTTTATTTACAAAGCAATAATGCCAAAAAGCCTTGCCTTTTGGTTTAGCCTTTATCAGATCCCTTCGTTCTGATAAATCACTTGTGAAGGGATGGCTGAGCAATTAGGCTTGCAGCAACTTTCTCTTTAGCTGTGGGGCTTGAGATGATACTCCAGGCTTTACATTCTGGGCAAGAGCTCTCCAACTAGCCTCATGGCCATTTCTGATTCTGTTTGATTTTAGACTTGAATTAAGCATCATTTTGCTCACAGCTGAATTCAAGATCAGACAAAAATTAATGCCCAGGTAATATGTATGACATATCTAAAATTTAGGAGTTTTACAAGGGATGAAAAATGTTTCAAAGTTTTTTCATAGGCTGAGGGGAGAGTCTGGACAAGACCCTGGTTTAATATCCAGCAATTTTCCTCCATGTAAGAAGTTTTAGATCAGATCCAAGATGGCGGCCAGCAGGAGACTGATGAAGAAGCTTGAAGAGATCAGCAAATGTGGAATGAAAAAGTTCCATAACATCCAGCTTGATCAAGCTAATTTATTGACTTGGCAAGGGCTTATTTTTTCTGACAACCCTCCATATGATAATGGGGCCTTCAGAATTGAAATCAGCTTTTCAGCAGAGTATCCGTTCAAACCACCCAAGATCACATTTAAAACCAAGATCTACCACCCTAACATTGATGAGAAGGGACAGGTCTGTCTGCTGGTAATTAGCTCTGAAAACTGGAAGCCAACCACCAAAACCAACCAAGTAATCCAGTCCCTCATAGCACTGGTGAACGACCCCCAGCCTGAGCACCCACTCAACAGGCAGACCCCATGCTCTGAACCCGTGGTCAGGCTTTCTTTGTAGAGAACCCTGCAATACCAGGTTTGTGGTGACGTTGGAGGGAGGGTCTGCCAGCAGAGAATGCCTTGAACTTGTGTGATAAATTTCTCTCCAGTCAGCAGCTCTCCCTGCAGCTGTGGGAGATGACCTGTTGGTTATCCCATGTCAAGGCAAAAGCCAGAATATTCTTTTGACCCTGAATACTCTAAGGACCGTAAAAAAATTCTGTAAGAATGCTGAAGAGTTTACAAAGAAATAGGGGAAAAACGACCTGTGGACTAAAATCTGCCATCAGTGATTGATTCCAGCAAGTTTCAGCAGAGCCCCTGAGCAATGCATTCAGATGCCCTGCAAAGCAGGACTCTGTGGAAAATTGACGCGTGCCACCGCCTGGCGTCCGCTTGTGGCAGTTACTAACTTTCTGTAGTTTCTTAATCAAAAGTGGTCTAGGCAACCTGAAAAGAAGGATTAAAACATTCAGACGCTCTAGTTCTGTTTGCTTTGTTTTAAAAATCACTGCTTTAGTCTACTTTGAAAGAATGCCATTTCTTTTCCTTCCCAGACTCAAAGGTACAGTTAGCCCAGAAGGTTTTAAAAAAAGAGCTGTGATTCCCTCTCCCCATTGCCTTCTTTTATTTCAATTCCACTTCCACAGACTAAGGCCCCAGCTCCCCATAGAAGCAGTAGCCCTTTTGTGCCACACTGCCTGTGGGTAATAGCTCAAGTCCCCTAATGCCATCTTAGTAATGTACTTACAAAAGATTATAAAACAATATCAACCCCCCCCAAAAGAATGTCTGTGCAGAGGGAAGCTGCTTTTACGTAAAATCTTAGCAAAGTGTTTCCACAAGTGACAGACTCAGTGGGCAGATCCCATGCTCTGAACCCATGGTCAGGCTTTCTTTGTAGAGAACCCTGCAATACCAGGTTTGTGATGACGTTGAAGGGAGGGTCTGCCAGCAGAGAATGCCTTGAACTTGTGTGATAAATTTCTCTCCAGGGCTGGAGAGATGGCTCAGCGGTTAAGAGCATTGCCTGCTCTTCCAAAGGTCCTGAGTTCAATTCCCAGCAACCACATGGTGGCTCACAACCACCTGTAATGAGCTCTGGTGCGCTCTTCTGGCCTGCAGACATACACAGACAGAATATTGTGTACATAATAAATAAATAAATTAAAAAAAAATTTCTCTCCAGTCAGCAGCCCTCCCTGCAGCTGTGGGAGATGACCTGTTGGTTATCCCATGTCAAGGCAAAAGCCAGAATATTTTTTTGAAATCTCAAGCTTCTCCACCACCAAGCTCTGCTGAGATGTGCCAAGGAGCCCCCACCCCTAAGCACAGTAGGCCACCACTGTCGTTCTCCGCATGGTTTGCATCTTGTGGGATCAGCATTGGTGGCTTCTGCTTTGTAACCAGCTGCCCCTTCCTCAGAGCAGCTGCAGGTGCAGCCCAGGCACAGGATTGCCTTTCCCTCCCTCTGGATTCAGCCTTTCCAAGGTCAAGGTCCACTTGAAGTTCACTCAGTAATATCCTTTTAATGTGTTTTATATTGATTCCACTGCCTTTTTTTGTGGAAATAAAATTTGACCTTAGAACTTATCAAATGAACTTTGTCAAGATTTGAACGTTAATGTCTTTTCAAGGCAAGTGGGACTGTCCTTGAAGCAGTAGTGACGCCCTGAGGAAGCTGTTGGCCTGACTGCCTATGTTCACCAACTCTTTCTACTAGGGGTCTAGAGCCTGTGGAGAAGATTGCCTCAAGAAGTCTTGCTTTCTGCTTTAATCTTAGTTCTTTAACTTCAGGGCTACCTAGGGCTCATAAGCTTGGAAGACAGTTCTGGGTTTTGCCTATAAACAAGGGAAACAGGTCCTCTCAGGCAGTGTAACACTATTTAAGTTTTCCAAGTGTTTGGTTCCTGTGGTGCATAAATGAACTATGCTTTTAGTTCTAGGTGTGCATGGGGCAGGTTTCTGGAGACGTCTATGTGCCCAGGATGGTCAGAGCATTGGGCCTGCATTTCTACATCTGTCTCTACATTGGCAGAAAAGTGACAATGGATCTTATTTCATTCATATTCAAATTTGTAATAAAATGCCAAATTCTGTCAGAAGTTGTCCAAACAAGCCACCATTTGTTCTTATTGCTTTTCTGAATCTAGAGATAGTCCAATTGTCTCATTGCTTAGCTCTACCTGCCTGTTGACCCTTACTGCTCTCTGCTCACTATGAGAGGGTTCTCTTATGCCAGAAGCCCCTCTCAGGGACTCTCAGCCCCAGAACTGACAACCATGGAAGCAGAGGCCTGCCTGGCTTGGAGTCAGTGGTGTCCCTCTGGGTTTGCATGCCTTGCTCTTTCCAGCCCTGCTCTGGAGCAGGCTTTGAGCAAGCTGGCAGGCAGCTCTGGCTGCTCGAAACTCAAGAGCTGGATCCTCTAGAGAAGGGGAGATCTGTGGAGCAGCCAGCTACCCACCCATCCCTGACACAAGTTGGCTCAGGAATTCACATCCCCCTGGTTCCTTGAAGTGCCCCGGGTCTTGTCCTGCTCTTTCCATGATGGCAGAGAATAGACTTTCTAAGATGCTGTGACCCCATTCTGTCCTTAATAAAAATGTTCTCAGACACACACACACACACGGAGTTTTAATCATATATATATGTATGTATATATATATATATATATATATCTTATACAAATAATTTCCATTTCCCCATTCGATACCTACTGTAGCCAAAGACACAAGCAAACAATAAACACAGTTCTAAATATATTATGATGGTATTCTATAAAATGTCTTAATTTTAATAAAAGAAACATTTTAAGCAATAAAAACCTTTAGAAGAGCTCACTTGGTAAAGTACTTGCAACCTCAGTTTGATTCCAAGACACCCCTCCCCCTATTTTTTTTTATTTTGTTTTTCTGGGACAGGGTTTCTTTGTGTAGCTCTGACTGTCTTGGAATGTGCTCCTCAACAAGGCTGGCCCCAAACTCAAAGATTCACCTGCCACTGGGTACTGGGATTAAAGATTTGTGCCACCACCACCCAGCTTCCAGAACCACCCTTTAAAACAAAACAAAACAAAACAAAACAAAAGAAAAAAACCCTCCAGACAAAGTCAGGCATGGTGGTGCACACCTTTAACCTCAGCACTCTGAGCAGAGACACGTGGCTCTTTGTACCTTCAAGGCCAACCTGCTTTACATTGTGAGTTCCCGGCCATATGAAGCTACATAGTAAGACCCTGTTTCAAAATGTGTGTGTGCTCTCTCACACACACACCAAAAAAGAAAAATCTAGGCTTAGAGTACATTCTTGTAAGCTCAGCTCTTGATAGGAGAAACAAGTGGTTCCCTGGGATTCACTAGCCAGCAAGCTAACCTCATCTGCTTGTTAAGTTCCAGGCCAGTAAGAGACCAAAGCAGTAGGATGCAGATTGTAAATGATTACCCAAAATCTGTACATAAGAGTTTCCTAGCTTATGTGGTTCAGGCAATCAAATGCTAACAAAGCATCAGTAGTGTAAAAGATTTGAATGTGGCATATACCTTGTGTATCACAACACTGAGTTTTAGATAGGTTAACAATGGTAATGGACTTATTGGTTATAGGTCCAGTACCACCAGTTCAAGGGAGGTTAGTGATATCCTCTGTGGTTGCCATTAACAAGTGATCAAAGTGTTATTCAAGCCACACAGTACTCTGTCTGATTTGTCTATTCTCTGAAAGAAGTCAATCTAATTGTCCATTTTGCATAGCATCCAAGTGTATAGTTAAAGTGGATTAAACATTCTTAGAAAGTAAAAACTGAGCTGTTAGTTGTGCTGAAACTGCTGTACCTTAACAAGATGTCTTTCATGCTCTGCTAATGTGTCTGCTTGCTGTGCTTGGGGAATAGTTAAAACTGTAATTGCCAGGGGAGCAACAATATCAAACTGAAGGAACCATCATTTCCATTTTTGTTGAATAGGGAAATTAGAAATTTGGTAAGACTGAGAAAATTTAGCACATTTAGGAAAATTATTCTGCACATCAAAATCTATTTCAGAGAACTGGAAGTTATATTTATACACATTGGGTCTTTGGAGTACACCAATATGTCTATGTTTTAAGGACAATATTATAGAGTTTCTGTGTTCTAATATTTCAGAGGTATGTTTTCTTTGGGCATATCCTGGTCTCTGGTGTTTAGTGTATAATTTATGTTTCTGATTATTCCCTTCACATATCATCCAATAGGGTCCAGGGAGATTCCCCAGATATGACAATCCACGAATGATGTAGGAGGGCCATCTGTCTATGTTATTTTCATTGGTTAATAAAGAAACTACCTTGGCCTTTTGATAGTCCAGCCCTTAGGTGAGTGGAGTAGACAGAACAGAATTCTGGGAGAGAGAAGCAGAGTCAGGCAGCCGCCATGGAGCCAGCCGCCAGGTCAGACATGCTGAATCTTTCCTGGTAAGCCACCACCTCGTGGTGCTACACAGATTATTAGAAATGGGTTAATCAAGATGTGAGAGTTAGCCAATAAGAGGCTGGAACTAATGGGCCAGGCAATTTCTTTATTAACCAATGAAAGTAACATAGACAGATGACCCTCCTACATCACACAAAGAATATATGTTTAAAAGAAATGTGTCTCAAAGATGTGAGTTGAGTTAAAACCTATTGTTGGTACATGTGTTATTCGATACTTTAGCCCAATTACCATTAAAAGGTTGAATAGTATTAAGTTTATGACAAGATGCAGTTATTATTTTAGTAATTAAATTATCACAGTTAAATTCCTGTCCAAGGGATGTCAGTGTGGTTATTTCTCAGAAAATTGGGAAACAACCTTCCTCAAGACCCAGTAATTCCACTTTTGGGTATATACCCAAAGGATGCTCAATTGTACTACAAAGACATGTGCTCAACTATGTTCATAGCAGCATTGTTTGTCATAGCCAGAACCTGTAAATAATCTAAATGTCCCTAGACCGAAGAATGGATAAGGAAAATGTGGTACATTTACACAATGGAGTACTACACAGCAGAAAAAAATACAACAACTTGAATTTTGCAGGAAAATGGATGGAGCTAGAAAACATCATTTTGGGTGTGGTAACCCAGACACAGAGAGACAAGTATCACATGTACTCACTCATAAGTGGTTTTTAAACATAAAGCAAAGAAAACCAGTCCACAAATCACAATCCCAGAGAACTTAGACAACAATGAGGACACTAAGAGAGACTTACATAGATCTAATCTACATGGGAAG